GAAATCAATAACTTATCGAATCGGCTGAATAATTATTCGGTTAGTTTTTCATAAGGTGTCCCAGGAATAATGATAACGCTATAATGCAGTGCGAGAAACTACCGACTATCATCACACGTATCATTATACATCACGAATTCGGCTGATGATGGTGACACACGGCGCAATTATAGTTGCTATTTCTGGGAGCATGTCCCGTCTCAGTTTGAACATCAGCTGCACAGATGTATGCTGCATTTCTCAATAAAAGATTCATTTAATAAAGTTTAATATCTGGCGTTGCAACCAGATGCTTCCAATTAATGAATAAATAAGTATACCATGCATGCGATTTCTTTACTTCATTAACTGCACATCATTTTCAATTTCAGTATATTGTATTTTTACTTCGCCTTATATAGCTATTGCAGTTTCTGCATTGTTAGTAATGCAAGGATAATAGCGAGATTAGATATGTAAAGATAATATAAGGAGAATATGGTGGGAATAAGGGGAAAAATAGATAGAGGGCAACATATATAGATAGAAAACAGATAAAAGGGCAAAATAGATAAGTATCTTATTCATGAATTAAAAGTAAAATAAGTAAATATTTGTATTTTTTTAATAAAATCCTACAACTAAACATTAAATAAAACAAATAAACAATATTAATAAAGTGGGATTTGTTATGTTTTATTTAATTGTATAAATCATTGATAACTATTCAATAATATACAAATAACTTTTCACTAATCAAAATAAATATTTTTATTGTGTTTTTGATATCTATTTAAGATTTGGACCCATGACTACTAAATTGGAAAATCAAAAAAAAAGAAAAAATTAGTAGAAATAAACCAAATAAAAAAAACACAAACAGAAGAAAGCCAAATGGAGAGAATACAATTAGAAAAAGATCAAGTAGAAGAAAGTTAAATGGAAGAGATTCAATTAGAAGAAAGCCAATTAGAGGAAAATCAAGAAGGAGGTTTCATTTATCGTGATACACTTCGAAAACGTAAAAGTAGAAAAGATGAAACATCTCAGCAACATGAAATGCATCTTGCACGAGACCATGAGCGAAAATGGCAAAAAAGAGCAACAAAAAAACTTGAAACACAGCTTACTAATGTGAGTAGAGAAAATTCTCAAAGTACAAACATGAGCAGACAAAATTCTAGAAGTACAAGTATGAGTATAAGTAGACAAAATTCTAGAAGTACAAATGCAGATATTAGTGAATATAAAAATGAATCTGATTTGCTGTATACTAATCTACAATTGGAGTCTAATATATTTTTCAGAAGTATAGAAACAGAAAATAAACATGAAGATGAACAAAATATATTGGATAATATGAATCAACAGCAGATGTTAGATATATCTCAAAGTAGTGATAACAATATAGTTTTACAACATACTGACCCTCTTTCTGCTTATCTCAATAATGCTGATCAAAACCTTCTACAACGATTTCGTAATAAAATGAATAAATTGGAGCATATACTCTGTCCAATATGCAATGAATGTTTTTTATCTATAACACTTGTAAAAAAAGAATGTCGCCGTTGCTTTACTGAAAAGAGTTTACCTAAAAAATTTTCAGCAGAAAATAATATGGATCCAGGAAAAGTACCTGAAGAACTTCAAGAACTTACTGAAATTGAAGAAATGTTAATTGCACAAGTCTTTCCTATAATGATAGTTTACAGACTTCGTGGAGGACAACATGGATATAGTGGAAATATTATTAATTTTCCTCAAGATATAGAAGAATTTACTACTCAACTTCTACGACATCCATCTTCTTTAAATATACTTATTATACGTTGGCAATCTGAAAAAGATCCAGCAGCATTTAGAGATTTTAAAGTACACCATGATAAAGTCAGTCGGGCATTACATTGGTTAAAAGCAAATAATCGCTATTATTCTGAAATTATAATTGATGATGATATTCTTCAATCCTTGCCAGAGGATGGTTCTGTAATGATCAACTTCGGTGCAATCAAATAATAGATGAATTAAATATAGAAACTGAAGAAAATGTAATTACAAGCACCTTTGTACCTTTTCTTCCTTCAGATAATAGAGAAGAAACTGCAATAAATAATATGCTTAATTGAATGATGACCAATAATAATATTATTATGTGGCCACATATTAATAACAATCCTATTAATGAATTTCAAACATCTGGCTATATTGCACGTGCTTTTCCAACTTTATATCCAACTGGATGTGCTGATCTTTGGGCAGAACGTATTAAAGATGTCAAACCAGCTAATTACTTTAAACATTTATTACTATATAAAGATGGAAGATTTGCTCGTCATGCTCGTTGGCGATACTTTGCACTTAATTCTCAAATGAGATGATAAGCAATACAAGAGGGTAGGGTATATGTAAAGCAGAATTTTAATGATAATCAAATTACAGTTGCAGAAATACAAGAACAGATTGCTAGTGATGATACACATATGGCAGATAGAATTATGAGATTTGGCCAGGGCTTGCGTGGATCTAGACAGTTCTGGAATGCAAGATGTAATGAGTTATCAGATATGATTAAACAGTTAGGCTCACAAGGGCTAATATTTTTTACATTTAGTGCTGCTGATTTACACTGGCCTGAGCTTCACAAACTTATGCTATCTAATGAAAATTGCAATCAAAATATTATTGATAACCCTCATATTGCAACTTGGTTCTTTAATAAACATTTTGAAATATTTTTTCATGATATATTAAAAAAAAATGAAATTTGGTAGACTGGTGGTATAGATTCGAATGGCAACATCATGGTAGTGTTCATGTACATAGGATTGGAAAAATAAAAAATGCACCTAAAATTGAATAGGACCAAATAAAAGAAGATGAAGAATTATTAAAAGAAGTGGTAAAATATATAGACTCCTTGGTTACTACTATTAATCCGAAACTTGATGCTCCTATTCCTGATCAGCATCCATGTCGTAAGCCTCATAATGAATTACATGATGACTTACAAGATTATATTGAATTAGTAAATAAGGTACAACGACATACTCGATGCAGTTCTTCTTATTGTCTTCGTGTTAATCGTTCAGGACAACAATTCTGCAGATATGGATATCCAAAAGAGGAAAGTAACTATACCTTTTTGCGTGATGATAATCATGGTCATCCAGAACTTGTAACAGCAAGAAATGACCCATATATTAACCCACATAACTGACTTCAATTACAAGGGTGGAGAGCAAATGTTGATTTAAAACCTATTCTTAGTATTCATACAGCACTACAATATATTTCTAAATATGCAAACAAGGCAGAGCCAAGATCAGTTGCTTTTTCAGAAATTTTAGATCAAGTACTTCGTAATAGTAAACACAATGATTGGCTACTTGTTTCAGTTCAGAAATTATTGCTTCGTAGTATTGCAGAACGTGATATATCTGCACAAAAAACTTGTCATATTCTTCTTGGAATTCCTCTATATCATTCAAGTCATTAATTTATTTTATTAAATCTTAATAAAGAATCACCACAATGGCTTCGTGGTACTGGTAGTAGAGAAGATGAAAATAATAGAAAAATTGAAAATACTGGATGGACAACAAAATCAGCTTTAAAAATATATTGGGATCGACCTTCCGAATTCGAAGATTTTTCATAAGTTATATTTAACATATAAATTTACCAGTAATCGATGGAAAAAATGTGATCAGAAAAATATTATACGTATTTGGCCACGACCATCATCATTGCAAGAAGGTCCAGACTGGGAGGAGTTTTGTCGTATAAAGGTTCTTCTTCATATTTGCTATCGTGATATTCAACAACTAACTCAAAACGATACTATTTCATGGTCATCTTTATATAATCAGTATTTTGAAGAAATTAATGCAGACCCAATTGATTTACTTGTGCAGCCTGTTGATAATAATGAAGGTAATATAACTACTGAAGATGAAAGTGAAGGAGAACAACTTGAAGATGATGAACAAAATGAATATCAATTTGATTGGATGCTTTTGGCAGAGATGGGTCCTAATTCAATTCCTAATCAGTCTTCTGATCTTGGATCTTGAAATATAGACCGAAATCATGATTGAATTAGTGATGCAAGACAATATTATTCTTATAATGACCTTGCAGAAGCAAGCTCCTTTGTGCAACGAATATCTAATCGTAGTGATAGCAATGAAATAGAAGCAAATGAAAACTTAGTTATAGATAATATAGATTATCAAAGTTTAAATGAAAATCAAATGATAATCTTTAAGTGAATAGAATCACATTACTCTAGTATACTTGTAGATAGTCAAACTGAGCCATTAAGAATTATTATAATGGGAACTGCAGGTACAGGAAAATCATATCTAATTAAAGCAATCAGAAGTAGACTTAATGAAATGGTTGAAAGTGGATCTAAATCACCTGTATTAGTACTTGCTCCAACAGGTGTTGCAGCCTTTAATATTAATGGAGCAACAATTCATTCAATACTTTCTGTTCCAATACCTATTGGGACTAACTTTGATTTAAAGAGTGAACAACTAAAGCAACTACAGAATAGATTACAAAATGTAAACTATTTTATTATTGATGAGAAAAGTATAGTTGGGCGATGAATGCTTGCCTTAATTGATATGCAGTTACGACAAGCATTTCCAGAATATAAAAATGAACCTTTTGGTAAAAAATCGATTATATTAGTTGGAGATTTTGGTCAGCTTCCCCCTGTACTTGATTTACCTATGTATACAACCAATATATCATGAGATCTATTATCTAATAATGGAATTGTTGCTTATAAACAGTTTCAAGAAGCTTATAAACTTGATATTATTCAACATCAATCAGGAGATTCTGAAGAGCAACAAAACTTCAGAGAAATTCTTTTACAATTGCATAATAGAGAATCTACAATAGCTGATTGGAGAACACTTAGTACACGATTTGAAGATAAAATAATCAAAACAGAATGAGATAAATTTTTAAATGCTATATTTATCCTAACAATGTGGACTGAAGTTAATTTAATAAATATAAATATGCTTCGGTCTTTAAATACGCCAGTTGCAAAAATTCTTGCTATACATCATAGAGGTGGTAACGAGGCCAAAAATGCTGATTCAGATGCTGCAAAGGGTCTTGAAGCAGAATTGTTATTAGCTAAAGGTGCACGTATTATGCTAATAGCAAATTTATGGACTGAAGTAGGATTAGTTAATGGTTCAATAGGAACTATTAAAGATATTTTATTTGAAAAAAATCAGAGACCACCTTCAATTCCTATAGCAGTTTTTATTGCATTTGATAATTACAGAGGACCTACTATTAGCACTCTAGATGGTATTAAGGTTGTTCCAATTGTACTAATTTAATGTACTTGGGAAGGCAAATCTGGAGTGATGTGTTCACGTTTACAAATTTCTATTCATCTTGCATAGGCTATTACAGCACACAAAAGCCAAGGTCTTACACTACCAAGAGCTATAATCAATATTGGCAGTACAAAATTTACAGCAGGCCTTTTTTTTGTAGCTTTATCTCGAGCCTGTTCTCTTAAAGATATAGTTTTTAAGTAATTTAGCTTTGAAAGACTTCAGCGAAATAAGAGAAGTAAAAGAATGCAGGAAAGAAAAGATGAGGAAAAATGATTAATTTCTCTAATACCTAAAATTTAAAATAAATTTCACTTTTTTAAAAAAAAGTTTTTTGTTTTGTAATTAAAAAAAGTAAGCAAGATCTCCAAGTAATAGTAAAAGATACATTTTCTCTAGGACATTTTATTAGATAATCAGCAGAATTTTAATTAACTCAAAGCAATGATCAAACACTAAGTTTCTTTTTATGTTTTCATCATAAACTACAAAATACTCAATTAAAAAAAAAAGATTTTATTAATAATATATTTAGTTTAAAAATAAAAAATCAAATCTAATTACTCTATATTAGGCCATACAAAGTTAATTGTTTAGTTCTCATAATATAAAATATAAAAAATGACCTGGCAACTCGGCTTTTAATTTTATTTTCAAAAAATTTTATATATAAAAAACATATAAAATTTTTATACAGGTTTCTGAAAAAACCAACCCGGATAGTAAAATATAGCCAAAATTTTATTCAATGGTCTGCAAATTTTGAACTGGCCGGGTTATGAGAACCAATTTATTAAGTTTGTATGGCCTTATATACTGGTATTGTCTAATTTGCTTTTAATAAAGTTGATATCTAATGAGTTCTTAAAAAATTTTAGTATTATAATATTTGATGAGGTTTAAATACTAATAAGGTAAAAAAAAAAGAGTTGCTCTGAATAAAATTTACTGGAATATTTAAATTTTTCATCGTCGAAGTTATTTATACTGATCATTTTGAGATCTATCTGATGCAAGAATTAGAATTCTTTTGAATCACTATTCTAATCAAAAAAATATAAACGATTTCTAAAATGGATACCCAAGTTAATTCCATTCCATCTTTGGTTGGAATAAAATACTATATTTTTAGATTAAAAACTCTATACATATATAACAATAACGATAAAAATGTGTATATATTTCATTGGGGTGTCAGATCGATTATTTAATTAAAACTATGCTAGTTAACTATAAAAGTTATCATATTGCAGATTTTTGTGTTTACACAAATGAAATTAATTTTTTTTGAATTTTCAATTTATCATTTTACAATAAGACTATTATTGCTTTAAACCCGATCTTTAAAATGATTCAACTTATTGCCAAGACGTGAAATTAACTTGAAATTTTTACCATAGAGTCAAAGAATAAAGCTACGTTTCACCAAACTTAAACCTTTGCAAACTAATGCTAAAAAATGATTCAACTTATCACCAAGATGTGAAATTAATTTGAAATTTTCACCATAGAATCAAAGAATAAAGCTACATTTCACTAAACTTAAACCTTGACAAACCAATGCTAAAAAATTAATAGAAGCATTACTTGTTTCGGTTGAATGTCCTTATCAAACTTATGATAAAAAAACAATAAAAATTTCCGTTGTAATTTATCTAATAAAAGTAGAGAATATACTGGAACTATCGGCACTCAATTATGTGATAAGTGTGGAGATAATTTTCAAGTTAATTAGAATTGAATAGACAAGGCCG